CACAAGCCAGCTCGCAGTTCAAAGAACTCATTAATAATTCATCAAGTTAAAACAAAGAAAATCACAACCGTGAGGGAGGTTTGGATACCCGGTCTTAGTTAGCATAGATTTTGATGATTTTACTTCTCCGTTTACTCCTTAGTTTTTGTTTCGATCGAGAAGAGATATCAAACACTCGAGATAGTTTTTCATCGGCTATCCAAAAACCTCGAATTCCGCTGCGCGTCGTATTTTCAACTCTCTTCTCGGTGTTTGGATATCCCGATGAAACACTGTCTTTCGTTTTTGATATATTACTTAAAACACAATATGCACCCAAAGGCAAATAATACTCAGTTCAAATGTTAGATATATTTTTTTACAGAAAAAACGGTCAATCGAAATTCCGAGGAAGTACTAAAAGAAATTATGCTCATTGCGAAAATTTAATCATTTTCGAAGCCGACAACTTTTGGATAAAAAACTTTGTAATTGTTTTTGACTGCATGACGAAAGCATGGAAACTGGAAAATTTGGCAAACGATGAGGAAATTTCGCGTAAACAAAAGTGAAAACAGAAACACGTCTACTTTTGAAGGAATCCTACAATTTCCGAACGGATTTTAGAAAAAAAAAATACTGCTCCATTTGACTTTCAACCAAAATTTTCGGATTTTTTTTGGCTAAATAGCAAGCACATATGGTTTCCTACAATTGCAGCGACAACAGCGTTGATAAGCCATATATTGGACTGCAACTAGCTTGCAATGGAGGCTAATGACATTAACCTCTTTTTAATGATATTCCCCGCATGAGCCTCCATTGCAAGCTAGTCCCAGTCCAATACCGAGGATACGAATATGGTCAACTAGCGATTATATAGAAACTCCGACGGTAGCAACCTCGTTCCCAGGGTCTCTCATCTTACCGCCCTCTCGCTCCAGGGGGCGGTAAGATGAGAGACCCTGGGAACGAGGTTGGGACGGTAGTCGTAAGGAACGCTAAATTTACTTTTTTTTGTAGCGATCACAACGATGGCAACAACGGCGTGTGATGGTAGCCGTAATCATTCGTAAATCAACTTTAATAGCGATTCGGCTTGGGAATAATTCGTAGTTTTCAAAATATTTTGCGGTATATTTCCATCGTATATTTTCTCTAGCCTCTAGGCCAAGCCGCCTCTGCGTAATGCGTTCAAACGAATTTGGCAAACTCGTCAGACGGGTTACCCATCGAGACGGTTTCTCATCCTCTAGTGTGAACACCGCCATTGTTTTCGATGACCCGATCGCTCTAACTCCCTGGCAGCTGATTAAAATGTAAGACTTTTACCCACCAATGAAATTACTAACTAACTGCCGGCTTCTTTTCTATAATACTCAATTACGACGCCAAATGACGACAGATGCTTTCAGTTGATTGTTATTTGTTACTTTGCCCATCATTGATTCTCACTTTCTCGTTCAGTCATGAGTTCTTCAGGATCAGACAACGAGGAGACAAGCCCACCACAGCAATTCACAAGGCAAAACAGATTCGCCTTCGCATCGAACATCAAAATCATTCCCGAAGGCGGATGGGGCTGGGTAATATGTGGCGCTGCTTTCGTGGCTCAGTTAATAGTCATGGGGATCCATAACTCGTTCGGCATTCTGTACACCACGCTGCTTGAGGAGTACCAAAAATCCAAGGCAGAAACCGGTATGTTAGATTTATAGTTAGACGCTTTGCTTTTTGTCAGAAAAGACGAAATTTACGTCGACAAACGGTGGCCGTTTTTCTTTGGTTCCGGCAGATCCAGTTGCGTAATCCAAGTGACAACAATTTAAGCAAAAAAAAAAAAAAACAAAAAACAAAAGAGAGATATAAAGGAAAAGAAAAAAGGCCACATGATGCTTTGAATACCGATTGAAAGAGCGCTTGAAGAAATATTGAACCGATATCACTCTAGTATCGTAAAGGAACAATAAAAATTTCATTTTTTAAAACACAGCAAAAAATTAACACTTATTTCCGATGAAAACTAAATATTGAAATTAAACTTAACTGAAGCATACCGTTCTGAACCAACGATCAGTAACGTGCCCCTAAACTGGAGGTTTTTTTCACAGCGGCCGTATTAGTGTCGCTGAACATGCCATAGAAAATTTTTGCATGAAAAAAAAAATCATTTTCCAAAGGCGAGAAACTCTTCTGTTTGGGCACGCCAACATGGCCGCCGTGACGTCATGTGAAAACGTTCTATGGCCTAGCTCCTCCAGCTGTAGATGTTTACAGATTTGCTTTTCTATTGAGCGTTTTCATCCACGTGGCCAGCAGCCATGCAATTTGTGGGAAAGACAGAAAATGTTTACATAGGAAAAGAGTTCAATTCCCACAGAATTGGTTTAGTACACCAACATGGCCGTCGTTTCATTGCTATAGTTACCGTGACGTCAAGTAAAAAACGCCCTATAATCAGTCTGCCTTTTGAGTACACATAAAAGACTTGCGCATGTATACCGACTCGCGGAATATTCATTCCCGTATCATATTTTTGGAAACATTCTATTTTAGCATGGGTCGGCTCAGTCAGCGTTGGAGTAATGTACCTATTTGGACCAATCACAAGCGGGCTCAGCGAAAGATACGGATGTAAAGTGGTTGCATTCCTTGGAGGCTTGCTGTGCTTCCTGGGATTGCTCTTGACGTCATTTGTTTCTGACTTAAGTAAGCTCTACATGACCTACGGCGTCCTGTGGGGTATAGGGTCGAGCTTTTGTTACTTTCCCACACTGACTGCCCCCGGGGAGTATTTCTGTCAGCGGCTATCCTTGGTGAATGGCATTGTAACAGCTGGTAAGTCATTTGTTGATTTCAAGTGATCAGCAGTAATCATAAGTTTTACACGCGCCGTCATAAACCACCATTTTCTGAATTTTGAACCTAAGATTCTTCCAGGTTCCCTTTGCTGACTGAAAGTCTACTTTAGTCATGACTGGAAGAAATGGAATACGGGGTCGAAAAAGTAATCTTCTGTAGGCTTCTTCATGAGATCACTATGCAGCACAAATAAAGTTCATTCTATGTTAAAATTGTTCATTGTAAGTTGAAACTTTATTGCGTGTATCATAAATGCACCATAATAGCCATTTCCGAGGTGCCTCTCTATCAAAGCGAGGCCTGGTGCACAACTATTCATATGAAAACGAGTTGAATTTGCATATGAATAAAATCTCGTTTTTATTTGAAAGGATAATCTCCAAGACTCGTTTTGAGAAAGAGGCTAAAGGTAGGTCGGAAATGGCCTATTACGTTTTGTGGGCGTGGCTCTAATCATTTCTTGAACACAATGTCATGCACTTCAACAACAACCAAATCATACTTAATGTCTTTTTTTCTTTTAACCGTTTCACAGGAAGTGGAATTGGTACGTTAACATTCGGCCCAGTCCTCCAGTACATCCTTCAGCGTTACGGCCTGGCCATCTCGCTGCGCATACTCAGTGGAGTGACACTGCTGCTGCTAGTAGTGGCATTGACTTACAAGCCGTTTCGTTCGCCGCTTGAAGAATTGTTTGAAGTTAAGCGACAACCAGC